AATCCCTCCTACACAATCCCAGCCTCTGTTCATCACAGCATGAGGAGCTACCGTGCCATATGGCAATTTGCCCATCTGGCACAGTTAAAACATTTGGATTCCTTCCACTCACCTTCTGTACCACAGTAGACTGTGCCATCACCTTTTAGCTCTTCTAAAGCAGCTCAGACCACCTGTCGTCATCTTCTAAGAGCCACTGTTTCTTGTACAGAGGGACCTTAACAGACTTAAAGGCAGTACATCAAAAAATTCTTGCTCTTTTTCACATTATCCCAAGCCATCTTCTGTACACAGTGGTTTTCCCTGTGGTACATAAGTCGAGGGGTATATGCGGAATAGGAAGCAAAAGACATTACTACATAATTAAATCTCATCATGTATCTCTTCAATACAGAATTTAAATGCCATATTAAATGCACTACAAGCTTCTCTCTATATACTATGATTGAGACATATTAATAACTAATTAGTTTTTAAACACAATTCAAATGCCCAGGTTTACTTCTCTTCAGAACAAAACTTCAGCTGATGAGTGGAGATTCTTACATTATCAGTATTTGCTTTATGAGAACTGTTGCATCAATTTTCTGCTGAAGCTGCAGGAATGTTTTAATGCATCCCATTTCTAAGTGCTTCCTTCATCATCTCTGAATGCTGCATCAGAGCCCTACTGACAATCGTATTTTGTAGGCTTTACTTTGGCAAGTGTACGAAAGCAATTCCAGCTCAGTGCATTGCTACACATGGATAGCTCCTTGTTTATAAAAAATACAAAGCAAAACCTGTATTCCTTTTCATAGTAATGAAAAAACATAGAATCCTATCATAATTAAGCAAGCAGATCTGGTCTACTCTAATAGAAGCAGTCTGAAAGATGCAGCTCTCTTGGCAAAATCAAGAGCTGCAGCTTTTCCTTAGGAGAACCACTACAAGAGTGGCCCTCTTCTCTCGCTTCCAGAAGTGATTAATAGGTGCTGCTTTGCAGATGGAAGTTTAGCCAGAAACATCTAAACGAACATTTACTTTTAAGAAACTCTGACCACTCTGTAACACCTACTGTTACAGTTTTATATAAGAAATAACACAAAATACTGCAGTGACTAACTCAGACATACGTGGATCTGCTCCAAAAGTGCTGGAGTCTGCAATGTGGATAACAATCTTTCAGCTACAGCAAAGGAAAACATTGTTTGAATTTCATAGAAATAAGAAAACTGACACTACATTCCTAATACTTATGTTTATTATGAAAGTGTCTCCAAATAAAAATAGCCCACAATACTGATTGGTTCCAGATATTTCATGAGGAATCATTATTTTCCATATTTAAAAAACCAAACCAAACCGAGTTAAACACAAAATAACTCCCAAAGTTCTACACAACAGCTATACATGAAAGGACTTCTAGTTAGCACATCACTGTGTCTGGGACACTTGAATTCCCATTCACTACATTTCTGAAAGAGTTGCTCAAGCACAGGATTGTCATGAAAACACAGGTGAAATACTGTCATCTGCCTCACCCTGACTTGCAACAGGCAGTCAACATGCACAGTATGGTATGAGAGCTCATGTATAAAAGTTAAAACCCTGGACTGCAGGAAGCTGAAGCTCAACAGAAGCCAGAAAATGTGTTTCATTTCACAGATCATTTTAGGTCACGTGAGACAGTAATTTTTATCTTTTGTCTGACATGTGTAATCATTGACACAGCTCCAAAACATAATTTCATCATTTTTCCTCGTTTTTTTTTTTTAAAGCTATTTCAAAGACTGAGAGTTCCGTGCAGACACAAACTCTGTGTTTTCATTGCAACTACAATCAGAAACCTTTACAATTTGAAGGTCATACACCTACACCTCTTTTCCAAACTTCCATAAGTGCTTTTCCAAAAGAAAAGAAAAAACGAATAAGGTTGTCTTACTGAAGCTCCCATTAGGTCCCTGTTCCAAATCAAAACCAGTCAGAACAAGTAATACAAACTGGTTTTAATCTATGGTTTGAAGGCAACTGTAGTTTGCAGAACAGTGCACTTAGGCCTAATAGGGTCTACATTACAGGAAGGGTAAAAAGTATTTGATAGCTCCTCTTGCACAAATGTCACAAGTAGACAACAAGAGACATACAAAAAAGAATTGTAGCAAAGAGATTAAAAAATACCAAAGCATCAACTGTAGAAAATAGTGGCAGCCCGTATTTCTCTGACAATACAGAAGGCTGCAGTAATGAGAAGATGAATGAAACAGGCATTAGGCTTCCTACTAGAATACCCCGTATAAAACACAAACGGTGTCTAAATGAACCAGTGATGGTCATCACTGACATTTACTGCAGGGTAACAGCTTTCGCCCCTGTGTCCTGTTCAGAACCAGAAAGTGATTTGCACCTGAAACAGATTTAAGACAAGAATCACTTCACAGTAAGCAAAGCTTTAGTGCACCTACTTGCACCTCAGAAAAAGGATTTGGCATTGATGGTTGCACAGATTGGTCACAGGCTGAGACAGAAACATGTGAAGCTGTTACACCTGTTCCAATTCTGCTGGAATAATTAAATAACACACAGAAAAAACCTACAAAACGGCAACAAGGAAAGAGCACAGGACACTTTGGTATTTTAGAACTAGCACTATTTAACATTGATCAAGATCCAAAAGACTCCAATGTCCACCCTTGTTGTTTGATCACATATTCCTACCATTTTCTGCAATGTTTGTTTTTAGCTTTTACGAAAACCAAAACAACAACAAAACCCAAAACAAACCCCAAACCACCAAAACCTCATTTTTCTTTTTTTGGGGGGGGAGAGATACAAAATATTCCAATATGGGAAATACTAAACAAAGGGAGACTTGAATCTTACTTTATTCTGGGCTGGTTAGGGAGAGTTGACAAATTCTTACTATTTGCTAATAAACTCTACATATCATGTCTTACTTTTTCTACTTCAACATCTCAACCACTGTATCATGTACTGGACTATTAAAAGGGAGCATAGAATTTGAAGACAAATAGGTTATAGAATAAACCCCCTCATTTCTAAAACGACTAAAATGACAATTCTACAAAAGGTACAAATACACAGAACCTTTTAAGATCTTGCATTTAACATGAACCATCACAGTAATTTCAATCAATTGCCTGGAATACATGTAATTATCCTCTAAATACTTGATGGCCTCCAAAAGCACCTTGCAAAGCTCTTCGGCAAAGAAGCACATTCAACTGAAAAAGGAAATAGTTGCACAACATTCTCTCTGCAGACTGGAAGATGATACCAAAGTTTTGACATCTATTGGTTAAAACAATGAATTGAAACACACTGCCACTTATGATCACTACAACACTTGGTCCTTCCTACTGGGAAAAAAAAAAAAGTGTGATTTTTAATATTCATAAGCCCCCCTGCAGCTTGAAAGTTTAGTGAAGTTTAGTGCTTCCTCACTCTCATCCCATTTCCCCAAATGTGCTTGAATCTCCCACCTCACCTATTTTCCAGACATACCTGTATTAGTTTATTCTAGGCTGCTAAGAATGGACTCCGAAAAGCCAGGTTTCTAGGAGATAAGTCACTGGGAGTCAGATGAACCATGGCAACTGTATACATGCTTTAATGCATCATAAATGCAACTGAATTTAAACCTCAAATAAAGAGTTTCAGTTCAAGTTGTACTATGTAACAGCGAGGACACACTAAAAGCATATGTAGCCAGCAATGGTAAATCATCTCAAGGGTTGTAGCCTTGACTGCACATCTGAATCGACACTATAGAGCACAGCTGGGGAGGACTGAGAGGGACCAAAGGTCTTGTGCCTCTTGCACACAGACTGTAATTGGGAACTGCTCTCTGCCCTGGTATAAACAACATGGTAGCACTATGTATTGTATGTTGTCTAAGTTGATACTTCAGAACAATATTCTATCCCCATGTAAGACAAAATATTTTGCCAGAATGCCATTTTTGTAACCAGTTTGCAGAAGGGAAATGGTCCAGTGGAATTAGTAATCAACATCATGAAAGAGGTGTGTTTAAACTGCTATTCTCAATTACTCTCTTAGCAGGTCATATTTCAGAAATTATAATGTTCATCCACTAATATCCCAGGATGGTTTTGGTTTAAAATCTTGGTATCATCTTGACAATTAGGAAACAACTGCCACTTTAAATACTTTCCATGACAATCAGTGTATTTTCACATGTATAACCTGCCCTGCAGAGATGAGAAAAAAAATAGACGCAGAGAAACTTCTGGGGTAGACGATTTAAGAGCCCCTTGCTCAGTCAGATATATAAGCTATGCAACTGTTGAATTTCAAGTTTACCTGGCTTTTTCAAAAGATGCTCTGTAGGAAGTAAAACTGACAGCTCTTCTTCCATGATTTACAACTTCTCAGGTTTTTTATCTTTATCTCCACCTAAGTGTAGGTACATTTTTCATTCATGCCATTCTGCCCTTACTTTTAGCACATTTTTGGTAACACACGAGGTCCCTATGGATAATAGAGGTTTCAGTAATATTCAAGAGTGACAAATCTCAGTTTTTCAAAAGCAAGAAGTGGCAACACAACTTTCTTCAATGGAGTTGTACAAAACAGAGCCTTCAAACATGTTTTATGGCATCAGAAACCATCTTCATTTTGCTATTTGCATAGGTGGAAGGAATCAGAAAGATATCCTGTCTTAGACTTCCAGCTGAACACAGCACTCCAATCCCTTTGTATATAGAAGACACATTATTACACATTAATGTTACATTTATTTCCTTCCTTTTTTTAATTTTTTTTTAATATATATACAGTCTTTGGTCTGTAAGCACATTGGTTCTGTGTGCACATACACAATACTGTTGAACAGTAGGTTGCATAGAGTCTGTTACCCAAGAACCTCACCTACTTTTGGCACTGCTGTCACAAATCCCAGAAAAGCGTCCTGCAAGATTTGCAGGATCCTTAGCATCCTACATCAAACTTTGATCTAGAGACTGGAAGAAGTGTGTATATAATGTTTAAAAAGACGTTTATTTTGGGTGTTAGTTTGTCTTTTTTGGGACACAGTTTGTAGATCTTGGATGAAAAAGGAGTGCAAAATTATTTTACAGACACCCTTATTTTACCTGTAGAGGTGATGAAATTCTGCTGAGTGTTCAAAGTTTGCTGTGATTTACGTTAAGTGAATTTTGCTCAAATTTCCACGAATTTAGACTAAACTACTTCCAGTAATGTATGACATTCTGCCTTCTCTCTCGTTACCCTACCAAGAAAGTGATGTAATAACAAGAACGATACCTAGACTGAACTGTGTCCAAGGAAGCAATGAACCTGTCATCTGCTGGTTTTTCTATTACACCCTTGCTCTCATCCATCTGAACATGCAAGAACAGTTACAGGAGTGAGGTCTAGATTCACAGTGGTGCACTTGAACAAACAACTTTCAACATGGAATCTCTGCAAAAAGACACTAATATCTGCAGAGGTGAAAAAACATAAGGGAAAAAAAAGGAAGAAAAAAAAGAAGAAAGTGAGAATGAGTTTATCCTAACTGTTGACATCAATGCTTTTGGGCTTGCACAATAAATCAAGTCTACTTCTAATGCAATTAACCACCAAACTGAATTTTAAATTATGCTAAAATAATATCCTACAATTACCACAGTTTTTCTTCCCCAAATTGCTAATTGACCACATTACCTACTACTTAATATATCAATCAAGTGTTCAAAAACTTTATGTTGGAGGAACGGCCACTGAGATTTGATAGGCAATTTCAATACCAGCACTTTTAAACACAAAGATAGCAAAAATATCTGAAGCAGATCTAGAATATATAAAGCTATGTTCTATCTTACTGTAAGTAACAAATCAAGCAACTATTACTTATAGCAGACTTGGCAAAAGCAACAGGGATGCACAGAAGAGATCTGAGCGTAATGCTCTTTACTACTGAGAATCCCAAGAGATAAAGTTTGAGAATGGATATTCCTTTTTGTCCAGAAGTTCCCAAAAGAATACAAAATAAATAATATTTCAAAGACAGTACAAGTGAAAATACTGCTCCCATTGTGTCAGTTACATACACATACAGCATGCCTACGTATACAGAATGGCGTGTTGTCTTCATTCACAAACAGGAAATATGGCAGTGCGCTACCAGAATGCTTTGATATTCCTAATTTTTTCTGATGCTGAGATATATGAAGAAACCGCATTCACAACTTATAATTTACTTCCAGTAGCAAAAAGTTCTTTCTGTTCGTGTCTCATGATTGAACTCAAGGATTAATGCTCCTCTGAGCAAGTGCCACCAGTGAGATATCCGTTTGTACCATTGGCACCGCTGGTCCCATTAGTGGAGATAGTGCTGTGTGGGGTCTTTGAACGAGGTACTGTTTCTTCCTCATCTGAGCTTGACTCAATGTCACTTCGGTCATCCTTTGCTACCTGTAGAATTTGTCAAAGAAGCAAGGAGTAGGTCACTGTAAGGAAACAACTGAGCTCTCTTGTTCAAGAGAATCTGGGAATTCAAACATTTTTCAATTTGAGCTTTGAAGGCAATCTCAACTTTGATGCACTTCTCTGCGTTTGCCTGGCTGGACTCACTTCATACACAGATGCCTGCACACACATATGCTATATGCAAAGGCAGAGTGAGAACTTTGCACTGGTGCAGTAAGTCCCAGCGAGGACACAGCGCTCAAGGAAAAGGCTTTTGAACAAGCTGAAGTAACCAACAATCCAAGCTCCTAAGTTCAATCTAGCCCTTGTCTCTCTGCCCTTCTATTACAACTTTATTTCTGGTTCTTTCTCTGGGGTGCTTCTTTTTGCCCTGGTACTAAGAAATATTAAACTCAACTTCCTCCTTGTCACCTCCCAGCTCATTCTCTAGAGGCCACATGGCTCCAGGAAACAGTGCTACAGGTGGCAGTAGGAGACGGGAATACTGGTTGAAACATAACCCACCACACCAGGTAACTGCAGTCTCCAACTTCAGGCAAGTGGTAAGAAGGGGGCTTGGAAAACATGGACATAACATAGTCCACTTCAGTCCCTATCACAGGAACCACAAACATACTTGAGCAGTGTAACTGACTGCCCCATCATGTGACTGGAAAACTGCATCAGAAACAGACTGACCTTAATTGCTAGGGATTTCCTGCTACTTTCCAGCTGACTTCTTTCCTGCCAGTTTATACCCATTTACTAGATGAATGCTGTTCCTTAGGTTGAGTCCACTCTCCAACTTTGTCAAGCTCTTTGAAGGTCACAGAGGAAGTTCACTCAGTTTGAGAGATGAGTCCCTTTCGAATCCCTGAGGTGACTTTGCTTCACCCCATTCAGTCAGAGGCACCCAAAACAAGCAAAAACATGAGGGAGCCAACAACAGTAAAGTTAAAGAGAGCTAACGGGGCAACAGAAAATAAAATCCTGCAAACAAAAGGCCCTGCCCCCTGCCTGCCCTGTTTTTAATGTGATGTTTTCCCCAGGGAGGTAACAGTGGCACTGCCAACCTATAAGATTATCAGATAACTCAGGTCAGAAGAGACCTCAGAAAGTCTGTGCCCAGCATCCTGCTCAAAGTAGGGTCAGCTGTGGAGTCAGGTACCATTACCCAGATCTTCACCCAGCCTGATCTTGAAAAACCTGTTAAGAGTGCGTCAGATGAACTAAAAAAACCCCAACATAAATGGAAAGAGGCCTAAAGTCTAAGCTACAAGCAGCATTAAAAATGCAGCTATCCATGCCTGCTTCTACCCGTCTGTATAGCTGAGCTTCTAATTCATTCTGAATTTGTTCACATCCATGCTCTGCCAGTTGCCACAATGGGCAATTACAACTGATTTTAGCAAATGGACATAAAGGGGGCAAAACACACAGCAAGTCTTTTTCCCAAAGAAATCAAACCTCTTAAAAGAACAGGGCCACTGCACGTAATTTTTTCTTACAGTAATCCTCCTCTACTCCTGAAAGCCCTCGTGACAATTCTGCTCTCCAGCTCTCACCTCAGAAACAGCTCTTTGCTTTGGGGTTCCCAATGTATCCCTGCAATATTGTAACGCCTGAGTGACACTGTTCTGCTTGGGAACAGAGAAAAAAGGAGCACAGAGTTCCGTATCTCTCCTAACAAGTAGTTTTTAATGTCAATGTCTAGCAAGTCTGAAATTCTGGTAATATGAAACTACATTTCAGCTGGAGATCAGAAATTTGATTCCACACTTACAAAGCTTCAATTAACAGATTACTTCAGTCTCTTTCGTATAAAGGGACTTCAATATTGAAACTGTTGGGGATATACAAATACACTGATAATTATACTTTTATCAGACAGAAGAGAATGGGCTGAGTACAGGGTACTGAGTGTTGGGGCAACACATATGCAAGAAGTAAAAATGGATCAGCATGAGGGCAGACCAGATGACTGAAAAATTCTGTGTCAATCTTAAATTCTCTTAATATATCAGATTCACTGCCAATTCTTCTGCTAAGGTTCTGCCCTAAAGCCAAACAATCCAAAGAAGATTCTATGCTGCAGCCACTTCTTTTAAGTATCTGATCCGCTCTCCTTACTTTTAAAATGCAGCAACACACCAGGGTCTTTGGGCCTAAAACCTGGTGCGAATGCAACACATCTTGCAGTACTCAGTTCTCTTTGTTTATCCTCAAAAGAACCCACTGGACTAATTTCTACGGGAGTCGAGAAAATACATACCTAGGTTTATAAAACTCCTAAGCATAACAGTGAATAAGAAACAGATGATCAGGATTAGTTAACAATTTCATGATAATTGCTTTATCAGCTGAGCTGTTCCAGAGGTGGATACTAGCAATACAAAAATAAAACAATAATTTATGATGAAGACCTACTGTAAATTATTTGTAACGTGTTGCGAAAACACTGCTTATTTAACTGCAGGAATGAAAAGAATGGGGCTGCAAGTGAGGAAGTAAGTTAAGATCTGAAGGAAGAATCTTCAGTGGATATGTCATACATCTGCATCTTTAACCTGGTCACTCTGGTCCTACTCTGAGTGTCTCACTACTTTTGTACAACCTAAATTTTCTCCTCTGCAATTGTTTGAACTACAAAGCAGAGGACTTATGCTCTGAAGTATGCTTCCCACATGGTGACAGAGCAGCTGTTGCCGATACAGACCTGTAGAAAGATTTGTAACATAACAGCACCCAAATGCTACAGATAAAATGGGTTTGAATGGTATTGGGCAACATATATGCAAGAGGTAAAAATGGACTTTAAAGACAGCCTTCATTTAAATATTTAAGCACAAAAAAAATTGATAAAAATACCAAGCAGAAACTACAAATTAAAACCAAAAAAAGCAACAAACCACAAACACCAGTATTGAGCATAATGAATTTTTAGCATAGTAAATTTAAAGACACTTACATGCAAGGGGTTCCACTTCCCAGCCTTCCAGCACAGCACAAGGGAAAGGATAAACAAGCAGAGTAAGAGAGAGTATGAAGCACCCTTTGAAGTCACTGGTGTAATTCAGACAGGACAGCTGAGGCTAATAATTGCTAAAAGCAGAGGAGAGTGAAGTATGGCTTCCAGGCAAAATACAGTTCATGAATGCACTGTCTTCCATACAGAGTGAGTGGCAGACTCTGGGCTCCATCCAAGGCAAGGCTGAGCTCTCCAGTACATTCATAGAAAGCAGTTTTCTGCAGAACAATCCCATTCACTTCAGGGATGGTCACATGTCTAAAACATCTACTCATGTGCTCTAGCTCTGCTCTTTAAGGACAAAATGCCCTCCACTTCACGTGACCTGTTAAGTGTTAGTGCTACCATCTAAATATGAGCATCATATCTGCATGGCAAGTGTAGTGGGGCTAGTATTTCTGTGAATTTTATCTTCCTGACAAATGTAACAATGGCAGCAAGACACTACATTTTATCCCAAATAGTCTTGCTGTAGGACTCTTGGAAAAAACCACATGTAGCCCTTCATAGAACCTACCATTACCATCAAAACCCCAAAGAGGCTGTGATTTGTAACTTTGCCACTAGCAAAGGAAGCAGATTTTCAACTTGTAATAGTATTGCTATCACTACCAGCTGGAAAACTAACACTTTGCTAACAACTACTATAAAGAATAAAACCAGAACTGGCAGCCCCAAGAAACCAGTTTGCTTGGATTTTTTTCTTTTCTTAATCCAATTTCCCTAATGTAGTTTGGTTCAGTGTACCGGATTATAAAAGAGAAGTGTGGAAGCACATAAAATACAATCATTATAAAGAGTATAATCTTGCTACAAGAAGTGGAATAAAGTTACCATGAAAAGAAGGAAGAGTTCACATAAAACATGTCTCTTCAGCAATGTGTTATGGATTAGAAAGAAAAAGTAACCAAAGTGAGTGACCCTGTGTTGGTATTGAAAACACTGAAATCCTAAACGTGAAATTAGCAGAACCATGCTGTCTTACCTTGCCCTTTGATATAGCTTTGTAGGCTGCCTTTATGATTAGGTAAGACCAAAAACAGTGCAGAATTTGAAGAATCACGAGCAGCATGTTGAAGACCCACAAGGCAGGAAAATTGCCCAGAGCTTCATACAGTTCAAACAACGTTGTGTTTAATATCCTAGAACAGAAAGGGACAGAAAAATAGTAACACTTCCCTTAAACCAACAGTGTAAAAGAACCCCTTTTAAAATCAAGACAAGTACTTGATTAGATGGGATCCACACAGTTTGTTCTCAGAGTGACTCGGACTGAATCCCATGGGTGTCTCGAGAGAGAAACAACATAAAAATGTTGCTTTCAGTGTTTAATTTAATTTTCCAAACCTCAGAATGATCCTCAGAGTGCTCGCATCTGAACCCCTTTCTCCCAAACCCAACCTCAAAGCCAATGGGTTTATTTCAGTGTACACAGGTATGGATGTCTTTGCCCTCTTGGTATCAGTAATTTGAGTGATGTGCTGCGTGGAACTGAAAACAGCCTGAGACTGTTGTTCAACTGAAGTGAAACTTCAGTGGCATGTGAAACAATGGCACATGTGTGTCAGGATTCAGCCTTCTGTGGGATTTTCTAACAATGGGAGACTTTGGCTGAGTAACCCCACATAAACACTTATATAGTGAAAACCTCAGCACCAACATGAATACAAAGTCAAAATAATCAACTGGTAGAGGTGCTGAACCCTGGGTACATGCACTAACCACTGAAGTATTGGATAGCTCTGGTGACCATTTGTCCTGGGTTCAGCAGTAGCAGTCATTTTTCCCCTTCTTAGTAGCTGGTGCAGTGCTGTGGTTTTGACTTTCAGCCTGGGAACAATGCTGATAACACCGATGTTTTCAGTTGTTGCTCAGTAATGTTTACTCTGACCAAGGACTTTGTGAGTCTCATGCTCTGCCAGGGAGGAGGGGAAGCCGGGAGGACTTCAGGACCCAAACTAACCAAAAAGAGGTATTCCATACCACAGCACATCATGGCTAGTATATAAACTGGGGGCAGTTGCTCAGAAGGGCCAGATCACTGCTCGGGTCAGGCTGGGTATCAGTTGGTGGGTGGTGAGCGGTTGTATTCTCTTCCCTTGTTATTTCCCTTACCATTATTATCATTGGTGGCAGCAGCAGTGGGTTTGTGTTATACCTTAGTTACTGGACTGTTCTTATCTCTACCCGTGGCAGTTACATTCTTTCGATTCTCCTCCCCATCCCTCTGCAAGCAGATGGGAGGAGGGAAGAGGGAGCAAGCAGCTGCATGGTTCTGGGTTGCCAGCTGGGCTTAAACCATGACACCATTTTTTGCACTAAATCCAATTTTCACACCACTTAGGTACAAGCAAGAGCAAGGTTTAACAGAAATACAAAGGACAGGTGGACAACAGGGATACATGGGGGGCAGCAAGGTGTGAGAGACCTTATTGTGGCTTCTCAATACTTAAAAGGTGCTTCTAAGAAAGATGAGAAAAAACTTTTAAATAGGGCCTGTTGCAACAGGACAAGGGGTAATAGTTTTAAAATAAGAGGGGGGATCTAGTGGTGAAACACTGAACAGGTTGCCCATAGAGGTGGTAGATACCTCATCCCTGGAAACATTCAAGGCCAGGTTGGACAGAGCTCTGAGGAACCTGATCTGGTGGAAGATGTCTCCACCTGTGGTGAGGGGGGTGGAACTGGATGATCTCTGTAGGTCCTTTCTGACCCAAACCATTCTGTGATTCTAGGAAATTCTGGCAGTTCTAGACGTTTGAACCGAAGTTTTCAGAAACAACATTTCAGATGCAGGCAGTAACAGGGACGTTGCAATATGACTTCTGAATACAACATTAACTACTCCAATTCTAATTAGCCCAAAGACTTTGCCATAGTGGATGATTTCAATCTGGACCTCAGCAAACAGCCTGAGAACAGAGAGTGGACAACAGTTGAAACAATGTTATTTTTGGAAACAAATAATGACCTATGAGTGCCTATTATCTGGGGAGAGAAAAAGAAGGCAATATAAGGATTTATCAGCCTCCAATCATTTTCCCTGCTGGTGTAAATATGCATTATAAAGTCCATTGGCTTTGGGTTTTTTTTAATTATCAACCGCTAGCCACTAGATGGCACATTTAATCAAGCAAACGACTGTACAGCTCTTAAAACTGCACCAGCTTTGTCTGAAGGCAGGAGATGTAACAGGTCCTTCAAGGGCTTCAGAATAGCACAGCTCTCATTTGAAAAGTTAAGAGACATCTGGCTCAGCTTCTCAATGAGCAAACACATTCCCCACAATCCTTTCCAAGGACACAAAAATCAGCTCAAGTAGCATTAATAAGTATTTGCATACAGCAAACCCAGAACATAATATTTAGTGGTAATGATTTATGTGTATGAACAGCATTGGTAAAAAAAAAATCAGAGATTGCTAATGCACCAGCCTTAATACTTGTAGGACATTTCGTAATAAATTTTCTACATTTTTGTCTTCCTACACTAAACTGCCTGTTTGCTCTGTAATTTATTGCGAAGTAGATGTTTTATAACCTTACTATATAGCAGTGTTTTTACACTGTCTTCTGCTTAATGGAGTGAACATTAGAAAAAAAACCTGTTTTCCAGTTTGCAAAAACTCCATCACAGCTATAAGTCTTCAGTCTCAGCTTTGTGTAATTTATTCTGCCAATGGTAGCTCTACATGGCACAGCGATATCCCAGCTTATAATTCAAGTAGATGCTCTCATGCATATCAAAACACAGCTGTCATCAGCACTGTTTTACTTCACCAGTTCCTATTTCAGTTCTAAACACTATAACAAATTCAAACTTGAAATCAACAACTCCTGTGTGTAAAGCTACCATTGTTTAAATCCACAACCTGTGGTTTTTTACATGTAAAATTTTATATGCTTCAGAATTGTAAATGCAGTTTTTATAAGTTTCTATTTATATTTTCATTCACTGAACCAAAATGACCTCCTGGGACTTCAACAGCAGGCAAGTTAAAACAATAGCCTTAGAGATGCAGATGTCTGTTCCCGCAGAAGTCCAAAATATCAGGAAGACAGCAAGGCCAAAACCAGTGCTTCTGGTTCCAAAAGCAGTTTCATTGTGCAAATAAGTCATCTACTATGTATTAGATATGGCAAATAAGCCTTCAATGAAAAAGCAGATATCTTTCTAACCTGCTCATACCTGGCAAACTAAGGGCAGGACTGGAACTCTCCATTAAAGCTGCACAAAGGTCCCAGTAATTGCTCAGCATTCCTAACAGGGGTCAGTGACCTGATGTTCAAGGTAGGTGTGCAGATGGAGCTAAGGCTATGTCTAAGCATGTGGGGCTGAGCAGAAACTGAATGAAAAATACAGATAACTGTAAAAAAAATGGAGGAAAGTAAATAATCTTTCTCTCTCAGAATACATCAATTGCTTCATGTCAAGTCTGAACTGGGGGGAAAAATCCTAAGGTTAGTAAGCAGAATACAGACAAAAATTCTTATAGAGATGGAGGAAGGGAAGGAGGCAAGCAAGGTTAAACAACTTTCCACCAATTCCACTGCTGAAAGGATTTGACAGAAGCATTTTAACCAACTACACAAGTAATAGGAAAAAGCAGCATGAGAGTGAATTACATGAAGAGAAAGTGTGTATATGATGTATATGCAAACAAATCTTAGGTGCAGATACTCAAAAAAGGTAATAAGGCACTTACATCTGCAAATGTGCTTGTTGGAATTTTTCAAAGCTCTCCAGTGGTTAAAACCCAGCTTTTCATAATGAATGGTGGAAACTGACTCTTGGCTATCTGACTTGAAACAGCTGGACTTGATCTCACAGGAATAAATTACTGTCAGCCACAAGTGCTCTACCTCTCTGAGCACCGGTCAGCATTTCTTGGGTCTCTACTATTTGAAACAAAGTGTTAGCTTCTGGTTTTGAAAACAGGTTCTGGACTGTAGCAATTTTTCTGAGGTCCTGAGAGATTCTGATATCTGGACAAAACTATATAATCTCATGGAAAGTATTCTTCCCTTGTTAAATGCGTCCCAAGCAGGGTCATGCACCTGGCCACACAAAGATCTCGGTTTAGTGTCCTGAATGAAGTAGTGTGGTTGATGAAGGCAAATGAAAAGAAATTCACCACTTAAGATTGAATCTACTCTTAGAGAACTGTGGGGTAGACTTTCAGGAATGCTGCCACAATGTCTGAGCCCCTGGGGGAGGTAATTCTGTACTTACTTTACTGCAGCTGTAATTGAACACTCAGAATAAAATTAACACATTTTCAACAACTACTACACAATGAGCTGCATCACACCAACAATAAAGAGGTTTTTCTTTTCTCTACTGTCTAAGTATCTAGCAAGAAAAGCAGTACTTGGAAGGCTATCAGCAACAGGCCCATACACCGACTCAGGTAAGATTACATTCCTTTCTCTCAACTTAGCTGGTACAACTCTGGGCTCTTGGATAACAGTTTCTAATTCTTGGCAAGTTGATCACTTGTCTTCCACCAGAGACAGAGGGAGAAAAGAGAGATGAAGGAAGAGAGATAAAGAGAGACGGACGGTGGAAGAATAAAATGCTTATTTACATTAGTCTGAGCATTGCCAAAAATGTACTGGGTTTGCTTCTGAAAGGACCCTGAGAAGAGTGAAAGGAGGTGAGAAAGAAGGCCATGTGGAAAGAGTAGGCAATCTTCCAGACAGGCAGAAAATTCATTACAAACTCTGCAGAATGAAGCATAGCAGGGTGATGGCACTATCATCACATCCAGTGAGAGCAGAAACTGTGCAGCTGAAATGAGCTACTGCAAGTTGCCTTAACTTCTGCATCACTATGCAGTGACCAACATATTATGCATGCAACATGCTGAATGAAAGGCATGTTTGTTACCACAGTGCAATAGTCAGAAGTCTCAAAGTATAACCAAGGACAGCAAAACATGATACTAGTATACCTAACTAACTCAGAATAAATGTCTTTATCTCTTTTACCGAGTGTATATTAGACAAGAATATTCTATACTGCACCATAACCAGCTGCACTGGGACATCCTTCAATACTGAAAATAGATAATTACATCTAGGTGGGAATTAATAAAATTCAGATCCTATTTAGTGCAAGTAATCTGACAATACTGCTGCCA